AGTTTTTTTTTTTTTTGTTAAATTTAGTCAACCTATCAGAGCTTGCCACGTGTGCGGCTCTCTCACATTCCCAAAACTCTCATAAAAGAAACGACTCTCTTCATAATTACATGTTTTGATTTATTTTTAATCACCTAAATTAAGATAACCGATCAATTTTTTTGAGAGAATTTTCCCTTTGGAGATGCTCTTAGTGACTTACCATGTTTGGTGAAAGTCATGGGCTTACAGTCGTCTCCATGTAATTTGCGTGAAATTATAATGTTCCCTATGCAAAATGTATCGGATTACGTTAATACAAAAAACGTAAATGTATCTTTTGACTTAAATACTAAATACTTTGAGTGGAAATGGTAGTGTTTGAGTATGGCTAGAAAAATTATGTTTATGAAATTTGGAAGAAATTAATAGTGATTTAGGATTAGGTGGAATAACTTTGAGGTTAATCGGTAACAACTAAATCTGGTTGAAATAAAAATACGTCTTTAAAAAGAAATCATAAATTATTCGTTATATCAAAATTTCATTATTTTTGTCGACAAAAGTAGTTAAATAAACTAATAAAAACATAATTTTTAATTTGATATTTTTATACTTTTATCCAATGTTCAAAAAATCGTTAGGCGGTAGCTAGACGTTCGATATGAACAAAATGGTTAGAATGACTAGTCAGAACTGGATAGGATCTACACGTTAGAAAATTTTATATATCATTTTTCATCTATTTGAAAAACAAAACTAATCATTGCTATTTTTTTCTCGTTTTCATGTCCTTTCAACCACTGTTAACTATACTTTAGATGACACAAAATACTCCAAACACATCTTACCAAAAAAAAAAACTCCAAACACAAACCAACGGTCATAAAATTGCCTAGACACAATGGAAAAAGGAAGAAGTCATTACACAGAGATCAAACTGTGTCACTGTAAAAAGTCACATGGTTTAATCAAAACATTTTGGTATCCACATGTTCTTCATCTTTGTAAATTTCACTTTCTATAGTACTCTGCTCTAACTTCTCTATAAAATTTCACTACCACCACCATTCTTCTTGGTTTTTAATTTCTTTAGGTAGGTTCAAGCTTATAAACCTTTTTTTTTTTTTTTCACTTTTTCCTGATCATATACTTATCTAGAGATTTTGAAAGCGTATTAAAATGTGGAAAACCACTATGGATATAATAGGGGAAAGAGAAGATCTTAACCATTCTACTACAATAACTTTTCAAAAAATGATGCCTCTTAATTGTTTATAGATATATATTGCCTAAATTCCTTCCTTCATGAACTTTTAACTTTGGGCCAGGCCTGACCATGAGGATCAAACTGAATTTTTTTTTAATTATTATTTGGTTCCAGTGTGATCAAAGCACTGCTTTAGATTCTTTTTGATAATTAACATGCCTATGTTTGAATTTTAGCCTAGGGGCTAGGAATCTTCCAATTATAAGAAAACAATATATTGCATAATCACCCCCCCCGCCCCCCCCCCCCCCCCCCCCCCCCCCCCCCCACAACACACCCATATATATGCTGGAAACTATATTTTGTAATGGAAAATTACGAAATAATTTTTTTTTAGAAAAAGTGTACAATCATGTTTTAGGGAATAATTTTAGAATTACGTTTTTCAAAAATTCGGCAATAATATTAATAATGATGAATATTTGGCAATTTGTTTTTGACAATTGACAGTTTAACATTACTAAATTGTTGCATAAATTTAAAATATAGAAACGTAAATTAGTTTATGCAGATAAAAAATAAAAATATCAAAATAATACATACTCTCTATTTCTTTTATAAACAAGCTTTGGATACCATTTCCCTAGAATTATTTTTTAACTAAATTTTGAATATTAAATATTATTTTAAACATAAAAATCCGTTCATCGGATATGTCCTATTCTAGTAATACTTATAAGAAGTTGTTTACAGTCATTAAAAGTCATGCGTTATTGAATTGATGATTTCGTAAATTCATTCAAAGCCACATGTGTTATTTGTTCAGTGATTTTAAAGATTTTTGTTTAAGTGAAATAAATTTAAGAACTTTAAAAATAATGAATGCTATGGTTATTTTCTCAGAGTTATTTTTGCCTAAAAAAATATTGAAATATTTTAAAACATTACCTAAAGTGAATGAAAATCTACAACAATATATTTACAAAGACTACAAAAAATCAGAAAGAATATGTGAAATGGAAAAAATGGGTAAAAAAACCCTCACCTTTCTTAAAAACATAGAAAAAACCCTCAACTTTTTTTGTGGGTTTTTAAACCCTCACCTTTTTATAAATGGTTAAATAAACTCTAATATTAATAAACTCAATTTTATTTTTTAAAAATCATTATATTCAAACAGTAAGTAACAAAAAAAAAATTAATTTATGATTTTTTATTTCAAATTCGAGTTTACGATTTTTTTTCTCTAAAATTAGGGTTTTTGTGCTATGAACATTTATTCACCACTTAGTTGAGATTAGGCAAATTATTTTTGTTATAATTAGAAGTTATGTTATATAAACTACAAAAATTTATAGGATATCACATTTGATTTTTTTTTATTCGAGTGTTCAGGTTTTGGATAAAAATATAGTTAAATAATAATTAATTAAATATAATTTAGATTATATTTTAATATATCGTAATATATATATATATATATGTATAGAAATATTAATTGTTAGTAAATCTTATTTAGTTTGTCCAATGAAAATATTTTGATGTGGAAATTCATGTACTTTTCATAGTATTATAAAATTTGGTTTGGTTTTACGTTAGTAAATTTGTGTGATCGAACCTAATAAACCTTTATTAGTATAAACTCTTATTCGGTTTCGATATAAGAATTTACATATAATTCGTAACAACATCTGTTTGGTTTCACTTTGATGAATTTTTGTAACACACCGAATAAAACTTCACTAATTAACTTTTTTACATCATGACTTACATATTTTCAATTTAGAAAAATATTGTAAACTAGAATTTTAGAAGAAACACCCTAAATCAAAATTTTCCTATTTATCTATGTTTTAGTATAACGATTTTTTTGAATTTAAATTAAGTTTTTTAATACTAGGGTTTATTTTAGGGAAAAATGTCGTTTAATAGCCGAACTTTCAAAAAATGGCCGTTTAATACGTGAACTTCTTATATGGCCAATTCAAACATGAAGTAAACGTTGACCGGCCAATTTAAACATGAAGTATTCGTTGACCAGGCCAAAAACCACGTATTAAACGGCCATTTTTTGAAAGTTCACGTATTAAACGACATTTTTCCCGTTTATGTTACCATTTATGAAAAGGTGGGGGAATAAAAAACCACAAAAAAGTTGAGGGTTTTTTCTATGTTTTTATGAAAGGTGAGGGTTTTTCTACCCATTTTTCCTGTGAAATGTATTAAAAACTCTCAACTAATTCCTTAAATTTTTCAAATACTATAATCAATAGAATTCTACCTAAATCACTATCGAATACTTCCCTAAGGTTTAAAATATTTGAAAAAGGTCCACAAAGTTCTATATGTATTATTTCTGATTTTACAACAAAATCTCTATTAAAATTTTTAGAAAAGTTTAGCTAACATAACAACAAACAAATATCTCTTCTTTTTAATATTGAAACTGACAGATTAATGGCCATAAATCTTGCATTGAATCCACATCTCCATGAATGCTAATTTTAATGGAGCGGTTTTGCTTTTGCAAATATAAAAGGGAGAAGAAAGAGTTTATTCTGACACACAATTTCATTGATTCTCATAGACTACAAAACATTTTCCCTTCATGTTTTTTTTTCTATGGTTTCTCTGAGTAAAGATATGAACGAACTAAACCTCATTCGATGTAAGAAATCCCAAAAAGGCCAGGGTTTTAAAACAGTCGCTCTATGGCCCCTGTTAATGTTGAGTCTGCTACGTGACTTACATTTTCGTCTGGCAGATCACGCCAATACACACCTGGTCTCTTTGGGATTTTCTTACAGCGAATGAGGTTTAGTTCCATCTCTTTATAGATATGATCAGTGAGAACATTCATGTTTCCTCTCCTCGCTTTTGGAATCACGAGACTGGACCAGCTCACTAGTGTCAACCTTGTAGCCAGCGTCAAAAAGTAAAAGTTCATCTGTTTTTTTCTACGGTGGATAATCATTGGCAAATAGCATCATCATTTATATTAATGTACCACTTATTTGGAGGAGTTGTTGAGCTACTCTTTTTTCTAGACCGCTCCATAGATTTCCTGTACTCTTCTTCTTGAGATCTAACATGCCTAGGCTTGAATTTTAGCCAGGGGCTAGGAATCTTCTAGTTTTATTAGTAGTTCTTCACTGGTCAACAGTCGTCAAACCGTTGACCCGTTTCCTCGGGAGTTTTTCAGCAACCACACTTGTCCCAGCTTCTTTTTTGTTCTAAATTGACCATCTAATCTCAATTTCATGTTTTAAATCTAGGAAGTTGCTTCGGACCCTCCAATTTAACCATAAGGTGATGATATGGTTAAGTTATAACTCATCTCAGTGAGTTGCTTCGGACCCTCCGATTTAACCAAAACGCAGTGGTTGTCTCTCTTCATTCAATTGGTCTAGATGAGTCAGAGAGACCAACCTGGCAGTTTAAAATCTGGAAAATGAAGGTTAGAGACATGAATACGATTGAACATAAAGTTAAGCTGGACTTGTAGAATGATCAAGATTGGTCTACAAATATAAACATGGGAAGGTAATGGTAAATTACATGTTTATTGTGATGTGATTGTAATTGCTTGAATATTGTGTTTAATTAGTATAATTCAGCGACTAGTTACTCCTAAAGAAAGAGAGCTCAGGCCATGTAACTGCAAAATCCTAAAAACCATCAAAGAGATGGGATTCACTGAGCAAGCACACATCAATGTCTATCACTCGGATAACAAAAACAGTGTTTCGCCGAAAATGCTTCCTAGACTGGATCTATAGTTTCAGTTTTCTTAATATTGAGCACACTCACACAACTGTCATAAATTTTAGTACAGATCAAAGACCATATGATGTACCACAAGCATCACACTGCGATTTCAATAGAGAGACATCATAACATGATTCAAACAGTCTGACTAAACGACCCGATTATCGAACATTCTGAGAGAAATAGTGAGCCATAATGTCAGAGTAACAAGAACCACAATGTCCCCAAAAGAGACAGTATAATAACATAATAACAGATCAAAGAAAGACCAAATAAGATTTCACCATATGCATCAAATTGCAATCTCAACACAGAGAGAGTAAAATGGGATTCAGACAAGAGGCAAAGCTCAGATCTAAATGAACAGATTCCAAACATTCCGACAGAAAGAATGAAACACAAACTCAAGAGTAACAATAATATCATCATAAGCATCAAATTCCAATTTCAACACAAAGACAGTATAATAGGATTCAGACAAGAGTCAAAGCTTCAGGTCTAAACAACCCAATTTCAAACATAAAGTCTACAATATGCTCAAAAGACAAACCAAACAATCATCATCACTTCTTAGCAGCTCCTTTACTTCCAGCTCCACCACCAGAACCTGCAGCTGCAGCTTGAGCAGCTTTCTTAGCTGCCTTTTCTTGCAATGCTTTTCCATCTCTGAATCATTTCATTACACAACAACCACAAAGACCAAACCATTACACAACCAAATAGAACAGAGAAACCCAACTAAAGATTCGTTTTTTAGATTCGTTTTCACCTTTCACGACGTTGCTCCGGAGTCAGACCATCCTCAGCATTCTTACCCTTTCCTCCAGCACGAGCAGCGGCTCTTTCACGGTCACGCTCTCTCTGACTTCCACGTAACGATTACGCATCAAAATTCAAAAGCTTGAATCAAAGAAAACAACAAACTGTTTCACAAATTCAGAATCCTTATAAGCAAGATCTAGTCTTTATACAAACAGAAACAGAGAATCAAACAGAGCAATCTTCTCCCAAAAACAAACCCTAAAATTGAAAACTTTAACCCCTAAAATCTGCAATCAAAACCCTAAAAAGATTGTGGAGATTCGTAGATCGAGAAATCGATTGAAGCAAAGAGAGAATTAAAAGGATATGAGTCATTGTTGAAACGAAGATAAATCTGCGATCCCGGAGAAAGTTGAGATTGATAAAGTCAATGCCGAAGAAAAACGCGAAGCAGAGGATTTGAGAAAAAAGATTGGATTTTTATATATTGCTCGGATTGTGTGTTAAAGTCGACTTTGTCGTACGCCTCTACTTTTCCATATTCTCTAATTTTCTCGATTATATATTATTCTTTTTTTGTTTTCATATTCTTTTGTTAATAAAATATTTTGGTAATTTTGTTACCAACTTGAGAGGATAAGCCGATATGGAATCAAATCAATAATGAAGTACGATTGGCACGGGCGTTTGCCTATCGCTATTCGCTACGACTACAATCTTTTCCAAATGTCGCAACGATCAATATTGATCGATATTGTTCAGTGACTAATTGCAACAACTAATCGTGTGATAGTGTGATAGTAGAACGAGTAATATTAGTAATTTTAGTGAAGAATATATGTTACTGAAAATTTCAGTCTGAAATCATAGCAATTAGTCGCACGACAAATCGGTGTGAGTAGCAAAACGAATAACAAATAGTGATATTGGATCTTAGGAGTTATCTAGTTCTAATGGAAATAGGAAAGAAAATTATGCAAACTAGACACTTTTACCGCAAATAATTGACAAACCATGTATTCTTTTAGATATCAGAAAAAAAATACTTTTCTCTTTCCTCTCTAATATAGTTTCCTACCCCTCTAATACAATTTTTACTGATAGATTTAAATACCCTTTTGTTGTTTTGTTGTGTAGACATATAAAGACAAAAAAATATATAGATGTGATATTAACTGGGTCAAACCAAGACCAACCCGATAATGTTTTCATCTTCTAATTGTTTATGGGCTTTATAATTTAGAAATTTACATATCAATAAAATCCCTCATCGTTGCCAAAAGCGAAGGATAAACCCTCATCGTTGCCAAATTTGTTTCACGATTTTCGAAACCAAAGTGAAATCTTAGAAGCATTGTTCTGCGTCAGTATGGAAGGTATGTTTATCGAAAAACTCTTTAAAGTTTCAGAATTTTTGCCTTCACCCAACGTTTAACTATGAATCTATGATTCTCTTTGCATTTTTTCAGGGGACAAATCATGCGTCTCTTTGGTCGGCCGGTGGATTTGCTTCTCGATTTGGGTGGTGGGACTTGAAAGTTGACAAAACTAGGCCATGAAAGTGTATAAACTGCGGAGTAATTTACACATTTAAATCTCTTGAAAAAACTATCAGACGAAGATTCTCGATTTTTGACCATGAAGTTTTTGTTGGGATGTCGTACTGGGCTGATGACGTTTTGGTGAGGCTCAACGGCCAGAAAATACCTCCGACTGAAATCAAAGACGACTGGTCGTTCAGAATTTTTAAGTCGCTTCTAAGGTCTGACAGTTTTGTGAATCTTTTTGTCACCTTGAAGAGTATGGTAGATGGTCAGCTTGAGTTCTTAGCTCCCCTTGAAAATGCTATTCCGCCTTCCACCAGAGGCTTCCCACTTCTACAAGGTAATAACAACTGCATGGAGATGATTGTCGCTAACACTAGGAAGGAGTTGCAACCCTATATGGTTGGTGTACAACATAAAGCGAGCGTACACCATGAAAATGGGTTTGAGGTACACCAGGAACTCTCATCTTCCATAGAAAAGGATCTAGCGAGGAAGCTTTGACGAACGAGGAAGAAGACATAACCAAGCCATGTGAGACGTCACTACTCCTCACCCGAGGAAATTCATTCCTTCTTCAATCCAATGCCCCATGTGTTGGTGTCGGATCCCGAACTCCAAATTCGGATCCACCCAAAGATTGCCACGTAGATCAAAAGTCAATGAAACGATGGTCAACAGAATATACCCCCGAACCGAAGTAAGTATCCGAGGCAGAGAGCTCAGAGAAGTTGGCCGAAGCGAAAAAAGCTCGAGAAGCAAGCAATGAGCCGATAGCTCGAAAGCCCAAGAAGGATTCAAAAAAATTCAAATAGAGACGTTATGACATTCATTGAAGAATGGAAACGGACATATTTAAGAGCATTCATTACATTAATTAGCTAATCAATGCAATCATTTGTGTATAAATACGAGACCCCAAGAAAAAAGGGGATACATCGTATTCTTGCTACAAAGCTAATTCTATACTATGCTTTTGTGTCATTTATTTTGATCTTGAGAGCTTTAATTCACGAATAAATAAATACTTGAGTGTGTTAATCCGACATCCACATTATGCTAAACTCTACAAACTATACGGTATGGGCCATGAAGATGAATGTTTTATTGCGAGTTCATAAGGTAATGGAAACAATTGAACCCGGATCAACTGAATCCGATAAAAATGATGTCGAAGTAGGATTGCTATTTCAATCAATCCCGTAGGCTCTTATCTTGCAAGTAGGCGAACAAGATTCTCCAAAAGGGATAAAGTGAAAGCAATCATGACTCTTAGAACTGATAGAGGAGGTGAGTTCACTTTCAACGGAGTTCCATGAATTTTGTGAGATAAACGGGATCAAGAGGCATCTCACGGCACTCTACGCACCGCAACAAAATAGTCTAGTGGAGAGAAAGAATATGACGTTGTTGGAGATGACAAGAAGTATTCTCAAGGTAATGAAGATACCAAACTATTTATGGGGAGAAGCAGTATGACACTCTACCTATGTAATCAAGAGGGTGCCAACAAGAGCCCTTGAAAACATGCCTCTTACGAATGCTTGCGAGAGAAGAAACCGAACCTTGACCATTTAAGAATTTTTTGGTATTTAGCATACTCGAAGGTTGAAGCAGTGAAGCTGCAAACCTCAAGAAACTATACGACAGATCAAAACCACTAGTGCACCTTGGCATTGAGCCGGGATCCGAGGCATATAGACTTTATAACCCAACGACATGAAAGATAGTTGTGAACCGTGATGTGGTTTCTGATGAGAAGACATGTTGGAGCTGGAATGAAACAAGAGACATACCAAAAAGGGACTCGTGAATGTTTCACATGAGATGGGGTGAAGTTGTAGATGCATGAAAAGGACCCGCGGTAATAGGGAATGATCAACACAAAGATCATGACGAAACTGGTAGTAACGAGTTCAGTGATTTTGAGCATCTTAGTCATGAACATGGAGACAACAACAATACGGACAAAAATCCCCATAACAATCACGATAATAAGAGTGACGCACACCATCAACAAGTAGAGCAGCCACATCTATGAAGATCGGGTCGTCAAGTAAGTCAACCACGTTATCTTGATGATTATGTTCTACAAGCTTCAGTTGAATGTGAGAGGCTACTGTTTTCGATGAATGATGACTTAAGTTGTTATAAAGAAGCAAATGTTTCATTAAAATGCAGACAAGCATGCAAAGAAGAGATTGATTCTATCAAAAAACAAGACATAGTTCTAATTGATAAACCGAGTGAGACGAAAGTTATTGGTCTCAAGTGGATTTTCAAAAAAAAAAAAATGCGGACAACAAGTACAAGGCGCGACTTGTGGCTAAGGGATATGTACAAGAATCCGGCATAGATTTTGATGAAGTCTTTGCACCGGTTGCTCATCTAGAAACCATAAGATTGTTGATTGCATTGGCGGCATCACATGTTATTTTGCAAAATCTTATGAAAATGTCTCGCCTATTGTTGAACTCGCAACAAACGAAGGATGATTTTGTTATTTCAATTCTTCTGAAAATATGGGTCCATAACTATTTTGCAACAAAAAAACTTTCTCTCTGCTATTTCTTTTATATATGTGTCTAATTTGGCTATTCAATAATACTAGATAAGGCCCACCTAAATAGGCGGGTGTGAAAAATAAATACAATTTTTTTTTATGATATATGAATTAAATATTAATATACATTTTTCTATATTTAATCTAATCTTTTAACCAAATTTCATCCTGACACATTCTATTTTGCAATACAATTAACTATTTATTTCATGATAATAAACTGTTTAGTTCTATACACTCCATTTTAATGGAAAAGAGCTAAAATTTTTAATTCTACATAATCCATTTTATTGTTTTAATTTTTTTTTATAAATATTTCTATTTTATATAGAAATCTACACATTTTTTTCTATATTAATGTTCTAACTCTCATCTCAATTTATCTTTTCTATCTAAATACCTTAAATCATGTAAGTTATTTTTTTTTTAAACTAAATTATTACTATTATGTGAGCTAAACTTTAGATGTTAGTAACTTTTTCTTAATGTCTTACTCGAACATGACTATACTTAATTCTCATTCATACTATTGAGTTTTCTCATCACAATCTTTATTTATGCATTTCAACATTTTATGTATTTTGTTGACATCTATATTTTATAATTATCTTAACAAAAAAAAATCGACAAAATATACGAAAATATATTTAAACGGGTCCTTATTTCAAAAAACTATTATATTATGAATTATATGTAATTGTAGTTATCATTATTCAAAAATAATAATGTTTCTTTCTGATATTTTTTTCAATAGGATTATGAAATTTTCTATTTTTGTTTTAAAATATATTCTTAATCCACTAATTTTGTTAATATATTTTCAAACAAAAATAGTGGATTAAGAATATATTAAGAATATATTAAGAATATATTAAGTAATTGGGAAAATAGGATTAAAAAATTTTGGACCAAAATTGTTAAGTCAACGACAAGTTGAGGATTAAATTTGCGCACACGATAGTTGGGGAATAATTGTGTTAATTGCAAATAGTTGGGGAATAAAATAAGCATTTTCTCATTTGACATGTGTCGATATCTCATTAATAAATTCGACACGTGATATGATCCTATGAGTTACTAACTTTGAAAATCATATTTTATATACTAAGAATATTACCTTTTTTTATAACTCTTATCTGTCTTTACCAAATTCGCTAGGCGATAAATCATAGTTATCGTTGTTTTGCTTGATTAACAAACATAACCAAAACCCGATGAATACAATGAGATTTTCCATTCAAAATGGAATAAACAAACCTCGCTCCCCTTAGTCTTTATTAACCTAAACCAATTACTTTGAGTTTCAAGAAGAGGATTTTACTACTAATAAAAATGAAATGACAATATAATCTATCATTCATTAGGATGTTCTTTTTAGGATTGGCACTGTGAACGAGAACTCTTGAGGTGTAGGGCTTCTTTGAGCTTACGCCCAAGAGCAAATGCTAATGGTGGAGGGACTGCATTCCCAATCTGCCTATGTTTGTCTTTTATCTTTCCTGAAAACTCATAGCTATCCGGAAACCCCTGTAGTTTTTTTTATAAAAACACAATTTCACTTAAAAGATATGTATTATAAGCTAACATTACTTAATTTCCAAAACCAAAAATCTCTACACTTATATTGATGCTAGAAGACTAACAAGGAAGGAACATAAGAGTTTTCATTACCTGAGATCGGGCGCATTCACGGATACTGATTATTCTGTCCTGGTCAGGATGGAAGCACACTCCCACAAAACCCGAGGGCTGGGGATCGGTGATGGAAGTGGGAAAGTCGCCTTGCCAGTCCAATCTACCATAGAGTCCTCTATAACCGTTGTGCTCCTTAGCTTTGTTTATTAAACCAGAAGGAATAAGTTTTTTCACAACCCCATTTGATAACTTCACCTGTAATTATAAGAAATTGTGTTTAAAGTGATGTGTAGATTTAATAAGGAATTTCCATAGCCGAGTGTATATAAGAGTAAGACTTACGTTTTCGTCCGGTAGGTCACGCCAATCAGCACCGGGGGTCTTTGGAATTTTTTTACATCGTATGAGGTTTAGTTCGTTCATCTTTTTACATATATGATCAGTGAGAACAATCATGTTTCCTCTCATCGCCTTTTGGAACCACGAGACCGGAACAGCTCCATACTACAAGACACAAGAACCATGACTTGATGTTATTGTATTTAATGTAATGTAATGTATAGATACTTTCTTCTAGTGGTGTAATTATCAAACCATACCTCTTTGTTTATCTCGGATTCTCCGCTTTTTACTGGTGGAAGATCGCCAATCGTGTCTCTCACAGTGATTGAACGGAAAGGTGCACCAAATTTAGTACTTCGAACAGCAGCATAATGCAAACCTCGAGATAGTGAGATTTTAAAACCCGGATTATTAAAGACATGCATTGGCTCAGGCCATTCTGGAAGAACTTCGTTTGGTGCAGCTGCCCAAATGAAAGCTCTTTTACGAGGCTGGGATATTCCATATGCTCCTGCCTCCAAGAGTCCAAATCTTACCTACATGTTTCAACAGACTTGTTATATGAAAACCATTGCTTTATTGCATATGTCGCCAACTTCTACTAAAGAGTAATCACGTGTAGAATAGAACGACCATGACACGAAAATAATAGCATTAGGAAATAAATATTACCTGGTAACCCATTTCAAGAAGAGAAGCCAATGTAAGCTGAAATGTATGTCCTTCATGGAATGTCACAAAAGTTTTCACATTCTCAAGAAGAAAATACTTTGGCCGGAAATAATCAGCAAAAGACAAGAATGCTAATATCATTTCACACTGGACTTTACTCCAAGAACGGTCACTGAACCTGTTTAGACGAGAAAACCCCTGCCAAGTTTTCCAAAAGATTAGGAAGCTTTTCACTTATTCAATAAAAGTTGTAGAAAAATAGTAAAACAAGAATCTGAAGGATATACTTGGCATGGAGGCCCTCCATTGATGAAATCCACTTGACCAGGCAGTGGCAGAGTACTCTTCTTGTTCTCATCAAGTTTAGCTGCAAGTTCAGCTGCCTCCGTAGTAGAGATACAATCATCGACATCTCCACATTTCTCCATTATAGCCCTGTCATTAATAATCTCAACCAACTGATCCCAGCACAAGATATAACCTATATAAAAGAGTAAAGTGTATCTTTTTTGTTGGCTATTTACCTTAGAATCACATTGCAGTTGTCAACAAAAACCGTTGTTTTGGGATGGTTTTGTTTAAAAGCTTGCCCAGCTGGCGCTTCATACTCGATCGCCCACTTCGTATCCGATACACCTTGTGTACATAAACAATGCATATGAATACATGTTATTCAAGCGTTTTGAAAAATAAAGTGTGACTAGAGAAAAATACATACCAGCCTTTTCTAGTCCATAAGACAGACCACCACATCCAGCAAAAATATCGAGTGTAGCTAGACGCATCTCTTTTGGTACCTCATCAATCATCGCATAGTCAGTTCCACTCTCTACTCCTTTCCCCTTCTTTTCTCTTAGAAGTTTTTCGTCTTTAATACTAGACAACATAAGCTTAATACTGGAAGGCAACTGTTACATGATATTTAAGAGAAACAGCGGTTCAACTTTTTTTCGGAACTAACAATATTCATAATCTTTAAATCCTATTTACAAAATTAATTAAAATATATACCTTATTGAGATGACCATTGGAGGAGTCATAGAAAAGTTCACAGAAGAAGATATGGTTTAATAGTGGATATTCACGATGTAAGGGCATATCATCTTTCTTCATTACTTCACATTTTCCCTTTATAGCCTTTGGAGGGAGGATATATGTGTCCTGGCTATAATAAACCTAAAGAAATTGCCAAAAAATAGAAAACGAAAAAACTATAAGATAAACTTTTGAATATTACCAAATATGTTACGTAAGAAATAATTTTTCTTTGTTTTTTCACATAAGAAATAGTTGTTACCTCGTGGATGTCTGAAACATAGGCCTTCTCTGCAGAAATATCTTCAGGTCTATAAAAACGTCTCAGGCTAACCTTAAAGAGAGCACAATTACCTTTTTTTGGTTCTTTCAGGAAAATATCCAGTAATTGGGAAACTACAAAAGGTTTAAGCCCAACGTTTCTACCGTACTTGAACATTGGCCTTCTTTTACCCTTATCTTTGGTTATGTAGTTGGGGATTACATAAACATAATCCCCAACAGAATACTCGACCCCATCGAAGAGAAATCCTGTCTTTGAATCATTGAGTTTAGTTTTTGACCTTTCCTCTTCCTTCTCTCTTATCTTACATGAACTGCAGAATCCAGAACCTAGACCCATATCACTTCTTGGAAGACTAAAGAATCCACCTCTCTTAGGTGAGTACAAGCTTTTGCAGTAGTATTCTGTTGGCAAATCTTTAGCTTTTCTTTCTTCTTCTCTTGCCCGTTCAAGCTTATCTGCAACCATATTCTCTTTCCTATACTGATACCCCCACGGTCTTGATCGAATCTCAAAGTTTACTGTTCCTTTTATGTCCTTGAGCTGAACAGTAAGGCATTCATTAGTCAAGAACAGTTCCCTCTCGTTAGCAGCGGTCCCTAGAACAGTCTCAGATCCTCTTTGTAAGAGTTTCCCATGTAGCATTTTGTAGTGATCTGAACTCTGGAACATGTACTCCACAAAATAGATCTTATCTTGATCATCAACTTCCAAGATGACTGCCCCACCAACAGCCACCTTTCCACCTCCAACAAGGGCTTGTCCATAGAGAGGCTCACCAACACTAGATTCTCCATAACTCTCACCTTCCCATCTAATTTCTCGACAACTATATCTAATTTTCTTATGAGCAGCATCAACAGCTTCTGCTATGGTGTCCTCTTCTTCATTCTCGTCCTCCTCTTCAACCTCTTCTTCTGCACCAATCTCCTCCGACGAATCCTCTGGAAGATAAATGGTGCAAAACTCGCCCCAAATTCGGTTGATAAGCCGAGTTGTTGTCGCTTGCATGGCTTTCCTCTTGGATACCACACGTGGCATGTCTGCCCCTGGATTCAAATTCTTTTGATTATGCAAAATTTTCTTCTTCTTCTTGATAATACATTTTGTGTGGTGCCTATCTTGCATTTCACTTGCAAGGCAAGTAACAAATGGACACCTTCTGATGCCAAGATATTCTCTCAAAAGCTTCAAGATAATTTGGCCATGGACGACAACATATCTATCTACATTCAAGAATTCAGAAGAAATGTAAGCTTTATCGTTCTCATCTAACCCACTGAGTCTTTTTATGACATCTACGTATGAAAGCTTAGCAATCCTCGTTTCAATATTGTGCAAAGCCAAAATCCTTATCCCTACCCGTACTGTTTTCAAAACAGGTTCGAACCAAGGAGCATATTGCTTTGACGGTTTTCCTAGCCGATACCTACATATATATGATACATTAGCAATAGAGCCGTGCCTAGGATTACGAAGGCCAGAGACGGTATTAATAAAAACATCAGTTCGTATAAAACAAATAAAATAAATAAAGAACTATTCAAATTCCTAATCAAGCCTCACAAAATAATAAAAAACATCATGGATTGCAAACAAAACGAAGACAACGTAAGTTTCCACAAATTTAATATAATATCTGAGCAAAAAGAATATAATTGATTATTTATCCTACTTTTAATCCTAATTTTGAATTCTAATTCATAATGAGTTTCTAGTAAAAACATTTAGAGGACTACGTGGTTCTATTAAACAAGTTAAACAAAAAAACCTTAAAGTACTACAGTAAAACTTCTATAAATTAATAGTCGATAAATTAGTAACCTCTATAAATTAATAAATTTTTCCGGTCTCGAGTTGAGAACAGTGTAAAAATTGACACAAATCGATAATTATTAATTAATAAGATAATAACTTTTTTGAAAATCATATGTAAACATATAAACCCATCAATATCATAAATTAGTAACTGTATAAATTTATCAATATATATATATATATATATATATATATATATATATATATCTTAATATTTTTATTAAAAATTTAGTCAAATATGACTCTTGTATTGTTTGCTTTTCTTAAATTTGTATTAATTCTTGATAGAGTTCAATTCTAATATTCCTCCTATCTCAAAAAGGGTGTGTTGTTTTCTAAACTTAAAAATTGGTTTTTTCGGTTTTAGAAAGATATTAATTGTAAAGAAAAACCTGCTTTTCAGATATATATATATTTAAAAAAATTATAAAATTAATTAAATCTTTCTATAAATGAATAATTACTAATTTTTCGATAAATTAATATCTACATAAATTAATAGAATTTTTTGGTCCCTATATTACTAATTTATAGAGGTTTTACTATACGTTACTATTTCTGGGCTTATTACACAAACAATAAGAGCTTTTAGTTTTAAATAAATAGTGGTCGTTGGCGAAAGTTTCTATTTTTTCTACCATAGGCTCGAGCTTGATCAGCAAGCAACAAATAAGGCAGAAACATGCAATGATATAGTAAACTTACCAGGCCATATCTGTTCGTAATATAATAAACACCATTTCTGCTCCAATATCAACCGTCCATTCCTTTATTTGACTAAGGAATATTCTCATCCCATCATGATCATGTGACTGGATAGAGCTCTCTGAATCATCGAGACAAAACCCGGTTCCATCATCTTCAGCCACCACACCAGACCCAAAAACGGTGACATCACTATCATCACATTTTTGCATCAGGAGAATCTCGAGAGATATGAAACTTGAATCAGACTTGTACAGTGCCCAATTATGAAGTGTTCTCCAAGGTAGATACCTCGTTTCAACCTCATAGCCACGATCAAAGAGTACAAGCTCATCAGTTTCTTCTTCGGTGTTCTTATAGTAAGATGGGTGAGGATAGTCATTGGCAATCTCATTCTCGTTGATCTTAATATAAAAATTATTTGAAGCAGAAGGTTTTGAGCTCTTCTTATTTCTTGACCAATCCTTAGATTTCCGACACTTTTCGTCTCGTATAAGCTTAGCATAATTCACGTGCTCGTCCTCAGCATCATCCATTAGTTGATCAGATGTCACGGCCTTGCCCTCATCAATCCTCATAGCCACATTAGACAAAGCCTTGTGAACTTTACTACTCTTATCTCTTAAAGAAACAAGAACAGGATTCTTAACAAAGCTTGTTTCATGACTCTTCGCTGTCTCATCCAAACCAGCGAGTTGGTTATATATGAATTCTCCTTGTGATATAACAAACTCTTGGGTGGCTGCAATGCTAGAAAAGGTCTTGCTTCCGCTCATCGACCTAACAACCGCCGCAAGAAGCTCATCAAGACTTGTATTAGGATTCTTCGACAAGTTCTTAAATACCTCCACACAAGCACAAGCTTTCTCAAAGAAAAAATCATATATTTTCTTGTATCTAGAAGCAGGTTCACGGCAATCGTAATCCGCTAACTCGGTTGAGATCCATATCACCGGGGAACCATCTTCATAACCAGATATAGTCCAGTTCTCTACTCGACCAAAAGATTGAAACCTCACACCCATTTCATTCTTTATCTCATCACCTAACGGTAAGGCAACACCTTCAATAAATATGTCACCAAGTTCCAACATCTCCACAGGCTGTGGAACTCCATTTGAATCAAGTAAAACGAAATCAGTTAGCCTCCGATTTGGACGAGGTTGATCACCATTGCTCTCCAAAGAACAAGTTAACTTTATCGCCACGATCTCCTCCGTCACGATCTGCTCTTTCTTGGCTTCAACAGTTGCAGATTTCTCCATGAAGTTTGTACATTCTGCTGCTCGCTTTGGCCTCTTTTCCCTAGACACATCATCAGAGTCAACACTTCTCTTCTTTTGTTTCCTAGCTTTTGTGTCCATTTCCAAGAAAAACCTAATTTTGAAACAAAATTATCCAAATCATTAGCATGCAATTTAAATAAAATTTTTGCATGAATACATGTAATCAAACCCCTCCAAATGAGTTGTTTTCTACATCACATAGATTATATCGACATCACATAGATCATCATATATATTATATCAGAAAAAAATTAATATATAAAATCCTCCGAATCTAGTTTGATATCGACAAAGAATTTTTAAAAAATGAAACTAGCAAAACTTACGTTTATTGAGAGTAGACAAGAGAGAGGAGCTAAGGACTATGAATGGAGAGCTAAGACAAGAGAGAGAACAAGGAGCTAACGATTATGAATGGAGCTATGAAGATTCTTTAACAAAAATGAATGGAGCTAAGAATCTTTTTTTTTATAAGGAGAACAAAAATACGTCTGAAATTTTTTAACATTTGAGGGCTGGCAAAATCTTGTGATACACTGTACATTACAAAAATTCATTTAATGTGATGAGCTCTAATTTAGTCTTTTCTTTTTATGTTAATTGAAATTTAGCTTTTGGGGCATATGCTAAATCCTATATTTCCATTATTTAATAAAAAAAATAATGATTTTAATTGAAGATTAAAAAGAAAATTTGACCAATTTATATAAAAGGATTTCTTACCCTTTTTAACAGTGAGACTATCTCCTCCATAAACATAAAATTGACCCATTTTAAAAGAAACAAAAACAAGAAAAACTATTATATTCTCCTTATTTATTTTCTAAAACAAATATTTTAAGACTCACATAAATGGTGTGATACATTGTACACAAAGAATTTAATTAGTTTTGATGAGTTGTAATTTTTTTTTATGCAATAACCCATATAAATCTCATATTTTCAATAATTAATGGAAAATTATATTATGTAGCAACATTGCTTCAAAAACTAGTTCTCTATATTCATCACTATTTGCCTTGTTTATAAAATTAATCGCAGGCGAAAGAGAGTTAGGGTTTAGGTCATAAGTGGTTGTCACTTGTCAAAATGTATTCTCCTTAGCTAAGAACAGCATCATTGGTTAGAAACTCTTTTGAACTTCTTAAAGTTAAAATATTAACATTTTAATATTAAATCAAAATCGACCACTATATATAAAGGAGACAAATAGTGCATGAGCATCTCAAATGGGCTAGCAGTCTTTTAAACGAGAAATGTATCTAGCTTTCTCTCCTGCTTCTATTTTTAATTATTTTCGAGATATCCTATGAGAAACGTGCATTAGAGCTGCTCTAATTTTGTTTTTATCAAGATAATATATTCGTATATCCATTTATCTTGCAAGTTTTTCATGCATTGCTAATTTAGAACTTTACATGTTTACTTTAAATAAGATGACTATTTTATTTGTAGTAGAGTAATGAATTAACTTGTCTGTCTATTTATTTGACCATACTATTTTATCATGTTAATTTGATACAATACCAGATATTTGTCCCATCGACAACATTCAAATATAGAAAAGAATCCATTTATATCGATTTTGCATCCATTTATTGTTCATTTATACATCATCAACTTAGTACTAATTAATAGTACATCATAGGTTAAATATAAATAGAACACGCTAATTTTTTACTAAGAGTGGTTATCAATATGCTTCGGAGTGGATATGTAAGTTAATTAATCTTTTTGTGTGCAAAGTTCTTGTAATGTGGATATGCATATGATCAAAGTGGTGGTGTGGTGGCTCAGAAGGTAATAATTGGTATAAATCTGGTCGAGAATATGGTGGAGACCGTGGTAGTAACACTTATAGAAAAAGAGGATACGACGATGGTGGTCGAAATATACGCAATGTTAAAATGGTTTATCTATCTTTTTTTTTTTTTTTTTTTTGAGCAAAAAAATGGTTTATCTATCTTTAAAATGTTTTTAACATATTTTATGGTACTTATATATGAAATTTGTACCAAAGTTTAATTTTGTGTTAGCGTGTTACTAACAAATGTAAAACTCGATATAATTATTTAACGACATCTTTAAAATATCTACACTGTGGTATATGATTGGGTTTTGGACATTCTTCACATGCAAAATTTATGTTATCTCATAGACAAATATGAGTTTTAATTTATATTACAGGACTGAGGACAACTAAGGGCATCCGCATCGGTGAGAACCAACCAGAGTTTCTAAAAAAAAAAAAAAAAAAAAAGATATATTTTAATTTGTCATGCAGCTAAGATTTGTGTCTCTCATGAGGTTCTACGATATTCTGGTTTGAGAACCTCTTTCTATCCTCTTTCATACTTTTTTTATTATTTTAATTTTTTAATTATGAGATACTCTTTTTAGAGACTGTAGATAAAAATGGTCTAAGAATCTTACATATCATGTAGAATATTTGCGTTTTATACACTAAGACAACAAAATATTTAAATCAAAAGATAAGTGACGAACCTATATATAAGTGATCTTTTGAAAACATGACAATCTTAGTTTTGGTCAAAAGATAAGTGGCAAATCATCAAATACTCTTAATTTTAGTCTTTTAACAGTTACATATTTGAAAGGTAATTTGGTCAAAGAACTAATTAATTAACTTTCAATCTTAGTTTTTATTTTTATTTTTCTATCTTCTATATACAGTATATTAATCTAGAGAGCCATTAATCAACTAAAATCTTACAAACATTGAGAATATCACATGTAAATTTTATATTTTTAAGTTATTTTAATTTTTTGTATTTGAATCTCCTTGTTATATTGGTTTAGTGATGTAAACAATGCATTATTGAATCACTAAATAGTGTTTTTATGAGAAAAATGCGTTATTTTGTCACTTCAAGATAATACACAAGTTTTGTTTGGTTAACATTAATAGACTACAAACTAAAATGTCTATATCTCCTTGTGTCAAAATAAGATAAATCGTTGGAGGATATTCTCTAATATGAAGGCGGCCGAGAAATGATATTCTCTAATATGAAAGCGGCCGAGAAATGAAAGTGTATTATTAACACAGACTACCGTGTTGGTACTTCTAATAGGTTAGAATGCCATATAGAGTCTACACCGATGCATCGGAAAGGAGTCTCGAATGTATGTTCATTGTGTATGCCTCAAGGCAGTTGTGAAAGCATGAGAATGAGATTAGTTACTCTACCCATGAGTCCATGACCTAGTTAGCAGCTTTGGTCTTAAATTTTTAGCGAGCATATATGTATGGGGATGAGGTATATATTCAAAGACCATAACAGTTTGAAGTATATCTTCCCTTAAGGAGCCTTATTACTTGTGACAACATAGATGGGTGGAGTTGCTAGCGGGTTACAATTTGGAAACCGCATATACAATCCATGAAAAGTTAACAAAGTGATGAATATATTGAGTAAGACGCGGGAGAGCTCAGGGACGAAGCATAATCCGCATTCACGGAAGCGTTGGGATCGGACAAGACAATTTATTATGGAGCGTTCAGGAAGTCCAAAAGAGATACATGGCTTTGAAGAAGTTCATGGAAACAAAAGTAAATAGGTATCATCACGTCACGGCTAGTGGAATACTTTGGTTCAAAAATTGAAGGGGCGTTTCTTAGGACAAAGAACTAAAAGGGGAGCTATCGCGGCGAGCACAAGGGTCGTGATTTTTCGATCTACCAGGTGACTAATAAGATATATTGGGACTTAAAGAGGTACTACAAATGAAATTGTATTTAGTTGGAACTCGAGTACCTAGTGGTCTACTGCAAAGGTCACCACTATCAAAATAGAATTAGAACATGGTAACAATGGAGTTTGTGACCGAATTTCTAGTAACGACGATGCAAGAAGACAATATATGTAATGGTAAACTTGTTAACTATGTAAGCTCTATTCTTGGCCATCAAGAAGTCGTATAGCTCTTAGCAACTAGCCGAGATCTACGTGGAGGAAATAGTAAAGTTGTCTAGAAGCGGATTTTCGAGAACTTTATAACAGATCGAAAATAATCTCAGATCTTAAATGTTTTGCCAATATTTGTGTATATCACACACCGTATAGAGGAAACAAATCCATATAGTTATAAAATTGCACTATTATTAATTATTATAGATGCAAAAATCCTTCTAGTTATGAAAATTTAATTCCACATAATTGCATTGGTTTTACTCTAGTCACTTATTAATTGTTTTTACTTGTCCTTATATCTTTTATTAATTTAAGCTTTATTTTAAAACCAACACGAAAAGCTCAATTTCAACATAATAAAAAAAAAAGAACACAGAAAGGCAAAAAGAATGTAAATTAAAAGAAAAGAGAAAACAAAGCAAAAGCAAAAGAGAGTGAGTGGTAAGGTTCCACACTCAAACTCTTCACACTCACTCCTTTCTTTCTCTCTTACCACTTCCTCAATGGCTCTCTGTCTCCAAGCTCTCTCCTTCCTCCTCCTTCTTCTCTTCCGTTCCTCCGCTGCGATGTGGTGCGTTGCTCGGTTCGATGTTACAAGCCAGGCGCTTCAGGCGGCTCTAGACTACGCATGCGCCGCTGGAGCCGACTGTGCTCCAATTCAACCCAATGGTCTCTGTTTCCTCCCTAACACCGTTCAGGCACACGCATCTTACGCTTTCAATAGCTACTTTCAGCGTGCAGCTATGGCTCCTGGCTCATGTAACTTCGCTGGCACATCCACCATCGCAAAAACCGATCCTAGTATGTATTTTACAAAACCAAGGCTTAATCGGATTTGTTAACTCGGTAAAACTGTCATAATAGTTTTGGTGTTTCTCGTAAGACAGTATTTTTTTTTTTTTTAGAATTTTGCATTATTCATGCCGGTTTTATACATTTTTTTTGTTTATTTTTAGTAACAATAAGCTTTGTGTATGGGTTCTAACTCGCTCTAATTTGGTTTATTATTGTGTAGGTTATGGATCATGCGTGTATCCAAATTCTGTACGGTACGTAATTTTTATACGATGTGTTTATTATGCATAATATTTCTGTTCGTTTCTAATAAATGTTTTCAATATAATTTCACTGATTTTTTCGCTGATAAGGAACTTCATCTCACGTATTTTTCATTCATTTGACTGATAATGTTGTGATCCTATTTCATGCGTCGTACTAATTTGCATGACTTTTTATGCATATCCCATTTAATGTTTCTGGACCGTTGGATGATCTTTACGAGTAATCATTCAACGGTAGATATCCATGTCATCTTTAGTTCTATAATTCTGTTTCTGTTCGTTGGTCTAGCCTTTTTTCTGGTCAGAATGGTACCTGCAAGTTTGTAATAACTAAAAGAAAAGAAAATAAAAGGCAAAAAGAAAAGGAAAAAAAGCATGTTGCAGTGTTCTACTTTAGAGGTTTCGTGACGAACAAGCTTATACAAGTTGATGAGTTGCATTTACTTATTTTAAAGATTCTTGTTTCTTAGGAAAATAATTTGATTCTTTTTTCCATTACCAATTTTGATTTCAATCCTTTTTAAAAAACAACTACTTTTAATTTCAAATGTCGTCTATTGTTGTTGTAATAAGAATATTGCCTACTGTAAGAAAATATTACTACTCTCGTTTTTATAACTAAGCTATAAACACTAAATATCAATACACATATCATCATATTAAAATTTCGACGGTGTATAGTGCGTTAATATTTTTAATTAACTAAACAAGAATATTCTATTTCTAAACTATTTCGGTTAAAATTTTGGTTTGGTCGTGGCAGTAACGCTGGAGGGTCAGCTTCAACTACCACGGTGGGAGGAACGCCGACAACAACCACCGGAAACAGCCCAATGACGACATTGAGGCCACCGTCGGGCACCACGACATCACCATTTGGAATAGGTGGCGGTGGACTTAATCCACAAGGAACCACTACAACTAACACTGATGAATCTGGAGCTTATATAATAAACAAGAGTACTGTCTCTATATCTTTATTGGTGGCCTTATTGTTATGGTTTATATAGGTGTTAGATTCTTGTTATAGATATATTGTACGGCTATAACATTTTTGTTAAATTGGTTAATCAATCGGGAAGATTTTGTTAGTGTTGTTTCATCAGGGTCTCTATCTCTGTAATCCTATATAGAAAAGAAATAGTAAAATCGAAAATTCAGATCGCAATTTTTAGTTCTTTTTTTGTTTGTTTCCCCCACATATTAGCACTTTCGGGTTTTATTTGCAAGAATTGTCATTTTGAAGAGTTCAAAAATAATGTTTTTAGTGTTAATGTGTGATGACACTTTTTAAAAACTAAACTTGAGAAGGGAGATTTGCAAAAATAATTTAAAAAGAATTAGAATTATTTTGCCTAAAAAAAACAATTTATAAAAAAAGTTAAAAACATTTGGTTACCTTTAACACCAACGTGCACCATTTTTTTTTCTTACAACATTTAGCATAAATCACTACATCTTCTAAACATGAATATGACAAAAGATTCCCTACAAATATTATAAAACACACTTTTTTTCTTTTTCTATTTTTAAGCAGGCATTGTAGCGACACAACATGGGCTTCTTCACATTGGTTTTACACAGAGTTAACCCTCATCTTTTTTTTACAATAGAAAGACTCAATGCCTTTATTGAGTGAACGACATTGACATGGCGATGTTTACGGTCCATTTGAAAAGATACAAAGACGTGACCATCGACTTTACGCGCTTTAATTATACACTTGGTGAGATTACTTATGGTTGTAATTCTAAAGTAGACATTGTTGACTGCTTCCACTACGAGGTTAGTGTTTAAAAACCAAGTGAAGGATGAGTTGTTCAATGAGTACGTAATCTATTTCGTATAAGTGGATATATATATTACATTGGAGATGATTGTCCTACGCAGTCGCAATGCAAACCTTGAAACTAGTCTTCCACTTCAGTTTCATAATGGAAATGTTGTTCTTTATATTTAATTTCCTTAGAATTTAAGGACGATCAAACTGTACTTATCAAGTATATACTTGGAAGAAATTCAAATGTTGTTAAGTTGCTGAAAACACATTTATCTCTATCGTTCTAAAACACACATAAATTACTACATAATGTTTTTGAATTTTTATGTTTTATTGATTAATAAATAAATATTACATTTACAATGATAGACACTTTTCCATAGACATATTAGGGACAACAATTTTGTAGAATAAATATTATCAAATCAGAAACTTTTTACATTGTTGTTTTCATTTTTGTACTTCTCAGTAAACTATAAGACGGTACCGTTTCATTATCCTCGAGAGCTCACAATCCACGTGTCACATCTAGAGTCAAACCCAACCGCACAGACAAAAGAACCCGAATTTGCAAATCCTATCTCCATCACCAAACCATTCTTCTCTTCTTCGATTTCCAGTGAAAATCGGAAAAAAGTCTCAATCTTTCTTTCTGGGTTTCTTCTTTATCAAACAATGTTTCACTAAACTCTCTGCTTTCGTGAAGTCAGAATAAAAGATCATGAACCTCACAAGCTTGAGCAAGAATGCTAATTCCACATCAACAACAGTAACTGTATCTTCAATACAGAAATTCCCGTTTCTGTCTTTGTCTGAATCGTTGCCTTGTCCGAAGATTTCGAAAAAACCCAATTTTCTTCCTTGTAAGTTACTCTTCCTATGACTTGAAAGTCCTCGACTTTGCTTTGGATGATGCTTGTATTCACCGAATTGTGTAGAAATGAGCTTAGTTGAGTTTGATTTAAACATTTGTGGTACTAACTAGTTTGTAGTAAGATGTAGACGGAGACCAAAGTTGGATTTGCTCTGGGGAAAATTTAGAGTTCGTGCATCAGATGCTGGTGTTGGATCTGGGAGCTATAGTGGTGGAGAAGAAGATGGATCTCAAAGTAGTTCTCTTGATCAATCTCCTGCTAGTTCATCAGAAAGGTTATATTTTTATCACTTATGAGTATATTCTTCTTGTTAGCAAGAGAACCAACATTTGGTACTGTTTAGAGTCTAGGAGTATGAATTTCCTCAAATCTCTGTCAATTATGCGACACTAAATTTATGTGTGTATGTGTAATAGGGTTAATTGAAGCTAGTGTGGTTCTATTTGTCTTTTATATTGTGTATGTGATTTTTGATCCTTGTGTTTTTATTGTATCCTGCAGCTTAAAACCTCGAGGGCCATTTCCTTATTCTTTGTCAATAGCTCTTGTACTACTGAGTTGCGGTTTGGTATTTTCTCTAATCACTTTTGTGAAAGGAGGACCATCTTCAGTTCTAGCAGCAGTAGCAAAGTCAGGTTTCACAGCAGCCTTCTCACTGATATTTGTTTCTGAGATTGGAGATAAGGTATATATCTATTCATGTAGCCCATATTTTGAAGTATGTCGCCTTTAGATTACTTTTACATTACCCAAATTCTTGATTAAGTAAATGTGGTAGTTGTTATGTGGTGTATTTGCTTTTATAGATGATCATATATATGGTACCCGTCCGTCTCATATATGTTGTTTTTTTTGTTTGCCAGACATTTTTCATTGCTGCTTTGTTGGCCATGCAGTATGAGAAAACACTGGTACGTTTTCTTCTGATATGTCTCTCTCACTCTCATATGTCCTTTTGTTCTAATATAAGTTATATAACGTTGTGAAACATTTTTTCGGTGAATACTGATGTTATTGACCTTGAACTCTTGACAAGGTCCTTTTAGGTTCAATGGGAGCTTTATCTTTAATGACTATCTTATCAGTTGTTATTGGGAAGATATTTCAGTCCGTGCCTGCTCAGTTCCAGACGAGTAAGCTACCTGAGGCTTATTCATCTTGTCTTAATCTTGAAGCTGTTACATTACTCATAAGAACAAACCATTTTCTTGAAAATATATGATGAGATGCTTCTCTTCTCTTGAACAGCACTACCGATTGGAGAATATGCTGCAATTTCGCTTCTTATGTTCTTTGGATTGAAATCCATTAAGGATGCATGGGATCTTCCACCGGTGGAAGCCAAGAATGGTGAGGAAACTGGTATAGAACTTGGTGAATACTCTGAAGCTGAGGAACTCGTGAAAGAAAAGGCGTCCAAAAAGCTCACAAACCCACTTGAAATCCTCTGGAAATCATTCAGCCTCGTGTTCTTTGCGGTAAGAAAGAAAAAACCGTTTATATTTGTCAAGAAACTCAATTAAACCATCCACATTTTGATAATTGACTGTTCTTTGTCTAATCAGGAATGGGGAGACCGATCAATGCTTGCTACTGTTGCGCTTGGTGCTGCACAGGTTTGATTCGCAACATCCTACAGCACCACAAGTTTTAGCTGACTACACCCTAAACTTTTTTCTGTTTCCAATCTGTGTTATAGTCTCCATTGGGAGTTGCGAGCGGCGCTATTGCTGGACACTTAGTTGCAACAGTGCTTGCAATCATGGGTGGCGCGTTCCTTGCCAACTATATATCTGAGAAACTGGTACGAGCAAATGCTTACACAAGTCCGTTCACAGAAACCGAATTGCTACACAAACTGATGAAATATTGGTGTCCTTTTGATGCAGGTGGGCTATGTGGGTGGAGCTCTCTTCTTAGTTTTTGCTGCAGCCACATTCTTTGGAGTGTTCTAAGCTGAGTGAACGGTGTTTCAACCGGCGAGTCACAAGCCTTCCAATATTCTTATTCTTACTTCTATTGTCGGAATAGCGTGAGAGCAATAAACCAGACCCTTGTCAGAATAGTTGTTGGAATAATTCACAAGAAGGAAACATTCTTAATTACAAATGGCATCACACATTTCACACACATTCATTCACAAGTTTTAAACATAATTCTCAGTATTTCAGATGGACAATGATCCTCAACAACATCTCTGCTCCATCAACAAAGTGTTGGCCCGCAGGAATCAACGGTCTAACCTCTGCGAATCCGCAAGCGTTCTTAAACCTTCCGGTTCCTCCAGTCACAGACAGATGCGACATGGCGCTTCCAATCCGATAAATACCATAGAAATTGAGATTATCATTGTACTCTCCACCTTCAAGCATAGCTGTGAAAGCCATCATCTGTGTGCTTCCATCTGCTGAGCTGGCAACATAAACCCCTTGAGCCTTACCAAGTGGCTGTGACCCCAAGTCAGGACCGGATGTGATTATGTCGTCAATCACCGTGATTGTTCCGAATCCAAGACTCAGACCATCAGGACCCAACTGTGTCTGAATCCCATTTAGATTCTGACCAGAAAACGCTGTACCGGACAAACCGGTACCTAAAGGAATACCATTGATACCATTAACCGTTGGCAAAGCCCCATTTGCATTGGGTATGGCTACACCGTTTTGCGGTGGAACAAAGCCAATCTGCTTAGCAAATGGTACTTGACCGTTGTAAATGTTTCCAAGCAAACCGGTAATTGGTCTCGCGGTGGGACTACTTCCGCCAAGTATGTCGTGCATGTACAATTCGAAAATCGGGTCTTCTGGTGCAGGATCGAGTGCAGTTGTTGCTGTAAAAAGAGCAACTATGAGAAAGATTGATGTTGAAAGTGAGGATGGTGATTGTTTCATCATATTGGAGGATATTTGTTTTGGATGACTCTTGGTTCTGTTTTGCAGGAAAGATTTGTAGGATTTGAGATTGATCAATTGGTGTATAAATACGGAGGAAGAAGATTTGTGTAGTTGTTGCATTTTTTAGGATTGTGAAGTGGTTGAAATGGGGAGGTTATTATGGCCTTGTTTCTTTTATGTTTTGTTTCTCTTAATGATTACTTGTATATTAAATTTTTGGGACTTAATCCGATTTGGGTGGTTTAGGTTTTGACATGAATTGTTGATTAGCTTTTTGGCCACGAAAAGTCAAAATCTCTTGTTTCTAAAGAGAATAGTACATCCAAAGACCAGCTACTGTTGTAATATTATCCGGTTCTTTATAAAAAAGACATAAACATTTAAAACCAACAAATATTAATGATCGAAAACACTATAAATGTGGCAACGGATTATAATAGTTTTTAAAACAATTTTGTGATATTTAATTTTAATAAAATAATTAATTGGAAAAAATATGTGATGTTAATTCATGGTATAGATTTTTAAAAAATAAAGAGTATGAGTTAGTCATAATAATCCGACTTACTATATGGTTTCATGATCAAATTTACAATTATCTTTTTTCAATTTTTTTTGGTATAAATGTAAAATTGTACTCATAAAAAAAACCGTTTGTACAATGAAATGCGACTTAAAGTAGTTAAAAGGCGAGAAATTCTGAAATAAGAAAACTACAACATCTTGATGGATTTACGATTATTTCTTATATGAATGCAATTGTATACTAATTTATGACTGTTAAATGAACTAATCCGTCCATTTAATTTTTATAAACTAGAGTTTATTTTGCATATAAGATATAATATAGCTTCTAGATAGATTTTTAATATTTTCAGTTATGTTTAACTTTTGCGATTGGGTGAGATCTTAACTTGTATACTATGTGACTGCATAAAATTTTCATTACGTATGACGTTTGTTTCTAATGGGTCAAAATATAGTAAGGAGAATGTGATCATTTCGACATAGAAGAAGGAACCAATCAATAACGGAATAAAACGTTACGTATGAACACTAAACCGATTTTAATTTTCTAAGTCATTTTTTTTTGCATATTTTTATTAATTTAAAATTCTTACAATATATATTCAAAGCATTATTAATTTATATTTTTCAAATTCAAACCATTATTACATTAGACACCAAAATTGTTTTAAGCTTTTGCCACTTACATTTTCACTGTTTTCACCACTACAAAATTGAATCCTTTTTCTTAAAGAATTCATAAATTTTCAAATAGTTTGCTACTGAAACTAAAATAATTTAGAAAATTATTAAAATTAAAATTTTCTATTATTAAAATTAAAATTTTCTATTTTATAATCAGGACCATCCTGTGAGAAAAAAAAGAAGAATAATAGCATTTGCTAAAATAAAGAGAGTTTGAGATAAGATATATTGGCTAAATGAAAAGGGTAAGAAATTTTGTTGCCCAAAGAAGTTGTGACACCTGACAAGATGACACCCTCTCAAAAAAAGATAATTAGGGTTTTGGACACCTTTTCTTCAGTGTACCTATATATATATATATATATATCAGGTTCTATAACCATCACGGAAAGACACGAACGTAGCTGCCCAAACTTCTCTGACCCATTGGCCATTGTTGAAAATCGATGAAGCAGAATCCGAAGGCAAGAATGGTGGAAATGAAGATCTCCTTTTACTAGCCCATGGAAGAGAAGAAGGAATCCAATTCAGGCAAGACAGTTTTAATTTTCGATCAAATATCAAAATATATACTCTTGTCTTAAATCATTGAACTTTTAGTTGTTAGATCTAGACAAAGCAAGCAGACAAAAACTAAAAGAATTCTCCAATGGATTACACTATCGATATGGTTAACGAAATTAAAGGTACAGATTCGATATAATCGATTGATTTTTATTCCTTTTGTTTTTTTATATGGTTAGCTGAATCACGAATTTTGGTTGAAACGAACCCGTTGAAGCCGCTTGGAGATCTGCTTGAACGTGAGGGCTTTTTGACACAAAGGTAATTCTTTGCTATAACTTTTTTTTATTTTCTTACCGTTTTATTCAGAAAGGGACAAACATATACGCTGATATCGTTGTTAATCTGTTGCATGGGTTAGAATACAAGAAGAGTTTAAGTAAGGTGAAAAGTATTGGGCGTTAGAAAGAAAGCGTTGTCATGCTATTTCAATCAAAAACAAGGTAACTGGTTCAGTTTATTGTTATTAATTAAACAATGTGCTGTTTGGTTTTTTGCTATACATTGGTTCATATAGATTTGTCTAGAATATGTGATGAGAGCAATTCATTTGAAGTCCTTTGATTACAAGTTGAATCTTCTATACTATACAAGTTGAGAGGAGAAGAGGTAATACATCCTCGTGCCTTGTTTTCTTTTTAATATTTAAGTTATAATCAATCCAGTTCTAGAATCTGATACATATAGATTGAAATTGTATTTGATGTACTTGTCCTAAACCATTAACTTTTATTGATTTAGTTGTTAGACCAAGCAAGCAAACAAAAACTATACGAATTTTCCAACGGATTACACTGTCGACAAGGTAAGGGTAACGATACAGATTTCAATATAATCATTTGATTTTTATTCTTGTTTTATATGTTTTTTAATTCTCGAAAAGATGTTGTTAATTACTCTGTAGATCTGTGATGTTGTTAATTACTCTGTAGATCTGTAATCAAAGTGGAAAGATCACTACGAGCTTTGTCGGGAAAAAGTGACAGAAGTGATACACTGTGTCAACGGTACGTCTGCTTTTGTTTTGTTTTTTGTTGACTCGAGACTTTTAATTAGCATAACATCTGTCAAGTTGGTTAGATAGAAATTGATTAGATAAGAGACTATTTTTGTCTTGTTTTTATTTTTGATATGAGACTTTTTATTGATTAGATAAAAATTCATGTCTTTCAAATGTTAAATTCATTAGTGATTCACATAGGAGAACAATCTCAGCGTAACTTTATTAATCAATATATAAAAAACTCAATCTAAAACTCAATACAAATTTAAGCCTACACGGCATTTTTATACAAAATCCAAAAACCCTAAAAATATCCTAAAACAATGAAAGAAAATTATTCCATGAGAAAGGAATGTGGTTTCCGTCTGTGCTACTAAAACATCAACTAAACTAGCGACTCACTACAATGTTCACCACAAGCCCATTACTGAGACACATGTTTCATGTGTCGTCATTAAGGTGATGCATGAGTAAGCATCAGTAAAGAGATTTTAGTCATTCACGAATATGAAGATGGTCCATTGGTTGTGCATGCATGGAGCGACATGTCACTGTGAATTGTATAGCACTTCACCTCTAGGAGCAAAGGACTTCTCCTATCATCCCGTCTACTGCACGAGACGTAAAACTATTGACGGTTGAGTTAAAGATGATGAATTTCAGAAAGTGAACTTCCAAAATCTTGAAAAGAATTACATGTTTTTAACTCCTTTTTATTTCTAGGTTCATGTCCGTACGTTTAGGACAGAAATTTTCATTAATCGATTAGGAAATGAAAAAGATGATGATGAAAACTAAGAGGAGTAGTTCTCCGTTTTAGTGACCAATGCATAAGTGGAATCGTTTGGGTAATCATTTTCTGAGATCTTACAATGCCATATGCGGTAATGTGTGATGTTTCCCGGAACGGAAGATTCTTTGGAATCAATAATTAAAGTGAGTGAAGGCTCATGAACATCAATGAAGATCATTGATCATTAGGTGGATATCGAATCAAGCAACTATTTAAGAAGAAAGCAAATAAACAATTATATGACCATTAGTATTTACGTTATACTAAGCTTACATTGCATCTTAGAAGGCAATGGAAGATCATCAGACAATGTGTGACGCAAAGTTTGTTTAACGATTCCTCTACGCATCTCTGATTGAAGACCAGTAAGAGAACCAAAAGAATTTAGTTTCTAAAATCTTCATTGGTTTCTCCACATATGAAATGGAGATATTTGTGAAGATTTTAGAAACTGAATTATGTGGTCCTCTCACTTGTCTTCCTTCACAGATGCGTAATGAAATCGTTAACAAACTTTTTTTTTTTTTTTTTTTTTTTTTTTTTTTTTTTTTTTTTATCGTTAACAAACTTTGCTGCGCAAAAGAAGTGAAAGAT